ATGATTGTTTCTTTTGCTGTGCAGAAGCTGTGGAGTTTGATTAGGTCCCATTTGTCTATTTTGGCTTTTGTTGTCAATGCTTTTGGTGTTTTGGTCATGAAGTCCTTGCCTACACCTACGTCCTGAATGGTTTTGCCTAGATTTTCTTCTAGGGTTTTTATGGTGTTAGGTCTTATGTTTAAGTCTTTAATCCATCTGGAGTTAATTTTCGTGTAAGGTGTCAGGAAGGGGTCCAGTTTCTGCTTTCTGCACATGGCTAGCCAGCTTTCCCAACACCATTTATTGAACAGGGAATCCTTTCCCCATTGCTTGTTTTTGTCTGGTTGAGAGCACATGGACACAGGGAGGGGAGCACTACACACTGGGGTCAGTTGGGGGGAAATAGGGGAGGGACGGTGGGGGGTGGGGAGCTGGGGCGGGATAGCAGGGGGAGAAATGCGAGATGTAGGTGATGGGGAGGAAGGCAGCAAATCACACTGCCACGTATGTTCCTATGCAACAATTTTGCATGTTCTTCACATGTACCCCAAAACCTAAAATGCAATAAAATAAATAAATGGGGAAAAAAATAAATAAATAAATAAATAAATAAAAAAATTTAAATGATTGTAATGCACCATAACTGAATTTATCTGTAAATAAAATGAACCCATATTTTGTTCTGAGTATCCTGAAGTAGTAATATTGGCACATGGATATTACTGTTATAAAGCACAACTTTCATATCATCTGTGGTCTGTTCTCACCTCAAGCCCAGAGACAATAAGTTTATTTCCTCACTTGGCCATCCTCAGTCTTTACAGCTCATATTTTTCTCTCAGTAACATGGTAGGCTCATCCAAGTTGGTTTGCCATCTCAAATGAATAAAACAGTCACAACTAAGTCTCTATAGAAATGAAACATGAATTAGATTCTTCTGAAGCACAAGAGGAGGGCAGATGAGAAAGAACAGTTTTATAATCACAGTCAGGAACTATTTTCTAGATCTTTTCTCTTGGGTTGAGGGTAATTCATACATGAATTCTACCACTACCAGTGATCCCTATGCAGATATGGAAAATATAGATAGAAATGATCCTCATTAAAAGTTACACTGAGTTGCAATCTGAAAGTTGAGAAAATAAACATTTCCCCCAAAAAATAAACCGATCACAATACCTCAGGCTAGGTGCCTTCAAAGTGGGTGAATGGAATCAAATCTGAATTCCTGAGAATATAATAATTAATTCATATACATTAAAATCCTCTGTTCACTTTAGCAAATCCTCTCTCCAATTTATCTTCTACTACCAATACTAGATTTAAGAAGCCTGTCATTACCCCACCCTTGTTTTGTATAGCCTCTAATATCTAATTTCTGGATGTCAAAACTATGAGCTGAATGCAATCTGGTCCAAGTGTTTAGGGTTTTGATTAAAAAAAATCACAATCCTACAATATAAGCACATGCCTGGCCGTCAACCTCTAAACCTCTATCTGTGCTATTGAACTGAGCCTTTAAAGAAAAATGTATGTTATGTATTCAAAGAAATATTTCACAGCTTTGGTCGCACAGATGCTGATGTGGGAATGAAGCCAACCCCTCCAGAAGGAAGAAAAAGAGTGGAATTTTTCTATTCTTACCATCTATGTGTTGATACAAAAATAGTAAATAATATGCATGTGTATATATGCAATTTTGTGTGGGAATGTAGGTATGAGAGAGATTGATAATAAATCTAAGCTTTTAACATTATTTTCTTTTTGCTGAAATTTCATGATATTAACATTTATTGCAGAGTTGTATTTTTGTGTAAGGCTTTGTGAGACACAAGTTGAAGGCACTTAAGTACAGAATTTTTTGATAACTCATACACATATTCATATTTTTCTTTATTCATTTATGGTTTCATATGGCTATTTAAAAAAAAAAAAAACTATTGAGTGCTTACTAATCTCTAATCCAGGCTAAAAGCACCAGTTAACATGGATTTTGGGGCTGAGCATGGTGGCTCATGCCTGTAATCCCAGCACTTTAGGAGGCCGAGGCCGGTGGATCACAAGGTCAGGTGTTCAAGACCAGCCTGACCAACATGATGAAACTTGGTCTCTACTAAAAATACAAAAATTAGCCATGCATGGTGGCATGCACCTGTAATCCCAGCTACTCAGGAGGCTGAGGCAGGAGAATCACTTGAACTCGGGAGGCAGAGATGGCAGTGAGCTGAGATTGTGCCACTGCACTCCCGCCTGGGTGACAGAGTGAGACTCCATCTCAAAAAAAAACATGGATCTTGGTATTTAAGAAAATTATTTTTAAGTCAGTTTGATGTTGAATACAATGGCATTGTAGAAATTCATCAAAAGTTAATTATTATGCAAAAATATTAAAATAGGGATATTTAGCTGCCCTAATTTGCAAATAGATTGATGTCAATAATCACAATATTAAAAAACAATGAATGATTCAAAGCTTAGTAAATTAGATTATAAAGTAATGCCTGTATAACATTTTTATTAATTAGAAAATGAAGATGAGTTTACAAAGGCATAAATAGAATTTTTAAATTGTATAATGCCAAAGTAACTTCTGATACATTTCTTAATACACAACTGCTATGTGTCTTTCAGAAAGTTGGGATAACACAACATTTAAACATAAATTCTGTCATTTGCCATTGACCTTATATATTAAGCACATTCAAAGAATGATTATTCAGCAGTACTATGGTGAAATAAAATACACCAATATATTTACACAATTTAGCCATTTTTCTATTAGACATCTATTGTTTTTCATTTTATAAGAAGTAATGCAACAAATATATATGTAGAGAACAGTTTAAATACTTTTTTCATTTTTTTTGCAATGGAAGTTACATTACATAAAATTAACCTTTCTAACCATTTAAAAAATATACAGTTGACACTTAGGTTGCTTCCAAATCTTAGCTATTATAAGCAACAAACATAGGAGTGCAGACATCTCTTCAATATATATTGATTTCTTTTCTTTTGATAATCAGCCAATGAATAGATAAATAAAATAAAATGTGTTACATATACACAGTGGGGTACTATTCTACCATTAAAAAAAATGTGCTACTCAGGAGGCTGAGGCAGGAGAATTGCCTGAACCTGGTAGGCAGAGGTTGCAGTGAACGAAGATCGTGCCACTGCACTCCAGCCTGGGCAACAGAGTGAGGCTTTGTCTCAAAAAAAAACAAATAAAAAAAAATGTGATCTAGTCATTTGCAACAACATAGATGGAACTGGAGATCACTATGTTAAGTGAAATAAGCCAGGCACAGAAAGACAAACATCACATATTTTCACTTACTTGTGGGATCTAAAATCAAAACTATTGAACTCATGGACACAGTGGAAGTTTGGTTACCAGAGGCTGGGAAGGGCTGGCAGGTGAGATGAAGATGGTACAAAAAATCGTTTGAATAAATAAAAAGAATGAATAACAAGAATAGTTTGAAAGAATAAATAAAAAAATAGAAAGAATGGGTACGAAAAGAGAAAGAATGAAGAAATCTTACTATTTGATAGCACAACAGAGTGACTATTACCAATAATAACTGTACATATTTAAATAACTTAAACAGTGTAATTGAATTTTTGGCCAAACGATAAATATTTGAGGGAATGGATATCCTATTCTCCATGATGTGCTTATTTCACACTACATGCTTGTAGTAAAGCGTCTCATTTACTAAATAAATAAATGTATGTATGTGTGTGTGTGTGTGTGTGTGTATAAAATACATCCACAAAAGTTAAAAATAAAAAAATTAAATATACAATTGAGTGGCTTTAGATACAGTTACAATGCTGTGCAACCATCACCTGTATGCAATCCCAGAGCACTTTCATCACCTCAAAAGAAAACCCAGTAACCACTAGTCAGTCTCTCCTTATCATCCTGTACCCCTAGTCTCTGACAACAATTCATTTGGTTTCTGTTTCTATGGACTACTGTGTGTATTCATATAAGTGAACTCACACAAGAGTTGGACAACTGAACCTAATTTTTTTCACTTAGTATGTTTTCAACAGTTATATATGTTGCAACATGTGCCATACTTTACTTCTTTTTGTAACAGAATAAGAATTCCTTTTATGGGTATACTTTATTTTGCTTATCCTTTCAGCAATTGATGGATATATACATTATTTCTACTTTTTGGTTAATAATGATGTAAAAAAATTCCTGGAAAAAAATTGTTTTAACACCTTACCTGTTTTCAATTAATTTGAGTATACACCTAGGAGTTGAGTCATATGATAATCTGTTTAACTTTTTGAGTAACTGTCAAACTTTTTCCTGCAGCTACATACCGTTTTCCATTTCTACCAGAAATGTACAAGGGCTCCAATGCGTCCACATCTTTGCCAATATGTGCAAATTCTCTTTAAAAAAAAAGATATATTAGATGGAGTTGTGGTATTATATTATGCCTTTGATATGAATTTGTCTGTTGCCTAAGGACTAATGAAGTTAAGCATTTTTATGTACTTGTTTGCAATTTGAATATTTTTTAGAAAAATGTCTGTTCAATTTTTTTAAATATATAGAAAGGAAATAGCAAAATGGGAAAAATAAGTCCTAGCCTTTCAAAATTACAACACATGCAAACAATTTAAATTTTCTCATTATAAGAAAGAGACTGGCAGAATTTCTGCTTTGCCACTTCTATTCATGACTAATAAAAGTTCTAGGAAAGGCAAGTAGGGGAGAAATTAGATGTACATTTCACTAGGCTTTCCTTAAGATCCTATGAGAAAATAAGTATCACTATGCAAATCTTTGTGATGAATATTTTTGCTTGATATTCAAAGTTTTCAAATAATATGTCCATCTCTTTTTTTGTAATATTCAGTTATTGGCACTAACTTCTTATCTCACATGAAATGCTGCCACTGTGCCTCTCTGTTGCTAAGCTCTTCTGCCATTTGCAATTCTTGGTGAATATAAAGAATCATGAAGAAATAACAAAAGCGAGCATCTCTGTCAGTTTCTCTTGATGCCCATCCTAATCACCTTATATAAGCCCTGCCTGAGCTCCTTGTTCTTAAGCGCATATACAATGGGGTTGAGGGAAGGAGGAATGACATTGTGTAGCACATTGAGTAGAGCTGGAATGAGGGGAACTCTCATTCCTGCACTATGAGTGATGGAAATCACAATAACAGCTGTATAGAAGAAAAGGATTAGGATGAGGTGGGAACTGCAGGTGCTTAAGGCCTTGGATGCAGCTTCTGTAGAGTTCAGCTTCAAGACAGAGTGAAGTATTAAAGCATATGATAAAATAATCAAACCCAAGTCACTTCCCATGAGTGCCCAACCCAGAAGCAGCTGGTTAATACTATTAATTTTCCAATCATCACAAGATAGGCTAGTGACTCCAAGGTTAGAACAAAGACAGTGCTCAATCTGATTCCGGGAGCAGTAGTGCCTCTGAGCAGCCAACACAGGCACTGAGATGGGACATAGGCTGTTTCTCAGTGCCATAAACACAGTAGCTTTGAACACAAAAGATTCAGTGATGATTGATGGATATCGTAGTGGCCGACAAATGGCTACATATCTATCAATAGCCATGCAGACAAAGATACCTGACTCCATGGCCACACAGCAATGTATGGCATACATCTGAGCAAAGCACTCCGGGAGACTGATGGTTTTAGCATTGAACCATAAGATGGCCAAAATCTTAGGCATGATGGTGGTAGCCAGGCCCATGTCCACCACAGCCAAGATGCCCAGGAAATAGTACATAGGCTGGTGCAGTGCTGCCTCTTTGTTGATGATGATCAGGATAAGGATGTTGGCACTGAGAGCTAAGAGGTAGAGCAGAGCCAGGGGCAGGGAGAGCCAGTGCTGCCAGCCGTGAATGCCAGGGAATCCCATTAGGATGAATTCAGAGACCTGGAACTTAGAGGTGTTGGAATCTCTGCGCTCCTGGAGCATCCTTCGCTAAGAGGAATAATATTCAACATTATTATTCTTAATTATCTTCCTGACAGAATTTGAAAGGAAATTACCCAGTATTATGACATTAAGAGAGATTGAGAGACTAATATTTTCATATTACCACTTCGATTTTATTGGATATTTATTATGACACAGGAACTGTGGTATGTGGTGCATTCTGTGTCTTAACTCACATATCAACAGTTTTAGTCACCCGTAAAACCCTGTAAGGCAGGTTATGTTTTTTTCTTCTTTTTCATACTGAGGAATAAAATATTAGAAGAAGTCAGGACATTTTTCATATTTTTCTAACTTCTTAGCCAGGGAGGCAGGACAAGTTGAAAATGATCTGACTTCACAGCCTTAGCCCTTAAGCTTTGCTTTGCTGATGACTTCGTTTCTTTAGACATTTATTGTATAGACTCAGAATACAAGTATTTAAGCATTGAGACTTTTTTTCATGTAAAAGATTATATTGTAGAATACATGAAAAGAACTAAAAGTAGCTCTATTTAGTTCTTCACATATTCACACACTTGAGAATATGGGAAATGCCATAATATATCATTTAATTTTCATTGAAATTTATATTAGTATAAACATTTTATGGAGAGAAGATTGAAATACAAAGTTTAGTCAACGCTCTCCCACTGTAAAGGACAGTAATATTCTTTAGAAATCATATTGTCCTTTAAATCCAATTCGTTATGGTTTCAAGTAAGTTTTCTCTACCTGCAAATGTTTTTGGTCTTAGAGCAGTCCACTCAGTCACACTATAATGAACAGCACAGAATTTTAAAAAAACAAAATAGAAGAAAAGAAACACACACAACATGTCCCAAGAGTTTGAGATAAACTCATTGATAAAATACCTATGAAATCAAGATATAATAATATATGTATAATTTATTTTGAAACAAAAAAAATGTTTATAATCTGTTCTCAACAAATGTAGGCTATTCATTATTTCTTCCTGTCAATATTTTCAGTATTAAAGAATACTATAATGACACAGAAAATGCAAAATGTATTGTGGGTTAAAATGATAGCATCTATGGAAAAGGTAGTATTTATATTGAGCTGGCAGATTTATTCATCTTAATCCATATGATGGTATACCATTATATTTATACCATAATGAGTCAAGGTAAATTAATGGATTTTTATTTAGATAAATGTACTTATTCTGTTCTCTATATTTCAGTAACTTCTAAGATTCAATCATTTATTTTCATACCTTTGTTTATCTTTTATTTGGAAACTATTTATCAAATCATGATGACCTCTGAGTACTAATTCAAACCTGGTCTGCTTTAGAAAGCTGTTTCAAAACTCTGGGTGATATGTGAAGATCAATTAGAAGGATGAATGCTCTTGTAGTCACTTCTTTGCCCCATTGGAGATATGCTTGGTTTTCTGTGCTAATAGGTCTTTTTTCAGATACTTTAAATTATTCCAGAGGAAAAACAAAAACACTGATCTACATGCTGCATGAATGGCTTCCAGTGTTCTTGGAGTTGTGTGGTAGAAGGTTACTGGGGATCTCACACTTAAAGGTGAATAATAGATTCAAATCTCCATTTCTTAGGAAACCTCTTCTTTGTCCATTGTCATAATTGATGTATATGCACTCATAGTATTAGTTAAATTTTCTTCCAAGAATAAACTTCCAAATATCATAAGGAGCTATTTAACATTGTTTAGAAGAATGAATAAATCCAAGATAGCCAGTTGTTCCTTTTTCTATTATTTTAACTGTATCCTTGTTTGATTTTTATGGGTTTACACTGAAGGATGGTAGATTAGATGCTACAAAAGGCAGCATCTAGAAATAACAAAACAACATAGGATGAACGTATCAATAATAGCACTCTTCAATGATCTCTTCTTGTGTCATGAGAAGATCTTAGAATTATACAGGAGTAGATAGAAATGACAAGTAAGCAAAACTCTGGAGGTCAGAAATGTTTTCTAAGAGGAAAAATAAATGCTTTTAGATTGAAGTATGTTTAGAATTCTGTCGGATTTCTATTCTCTTCTGTTGCTGTTAGCGATTTCCTACCCACATCACACTAATATTATCAGCTTTGTGATTTTGCAATCCTCTATTCTATTTTGTGCCCTCACTCCTGCCATACTAAATCTACATTTAATTATTCCTTCTTCTAAAAGACTCAATTTTGTTTTGGAGAGAATAGAGATCCTCACTCTAAATCATTTGAGTATAATACAATTTAAAAAGAGATGGGGGCCGGGCACCATGGCTCATGCCTGTAATCCCAGCACTTTTGGAGGCTGAGGCGGGTGGATCACGAGGTCAGGTGATCAAGACTATCCTGACCATCACGGTGAAACCCCGTCTCTACTAAAAATACAAAAAAAATAGCTGGGCATGGTGGCGCATGCCTGTAGTCCCAGCTATTCAGGAGGTTGAGGCAGGAGAATTGCATGAACCCAGGAGGTGGAGATTGCAGTGAGCCGAGATCACGCCGCTGCACTACAGCCTGGGCAACAATGCAAGACTCTGTCTCAAAATAATAATAATAATAATAATAATAAAGAAAAAGAGATGGGATTGCAGTTAAAAAATATATTCATTGATGAAATCAATCTTTTTTATTTTAACATGGTAAGTATCTCAACTCACAATTATATTGTAGAATACAGGAAAAGAACTAAAAGTACCTCTTTTTAGTTTTAGTTTTTAGTTCTTATTGTGTTCTTATCTTTTATTATATTGTGAGTGAATCAAGATACTTATCATGTTAAGGTATTACATACCTTAATATTTGGAGATATTCAATTTATATTTAATTCGTAACATCTAGCAAAATCCTATGCATATAGTACATATGAATAAATGCTTTTGAATGAATAAATGAACACATTAATGAATGACATTTCATAATGGGCTTTAAGTATTATGACACTGGTGTCAAAATATTATCTCGTAGAAATCACTATCCTTAGCAAACTAACACAGGAATATAAAATCAAATACCACATACTCTTATAACTGGGAGCTAAATGATGAGAACATGTGGACACATAGAGAGGAAAAACACACAGGGGTGTCTATTGATGGGTGGAGGGTGGAAGGAGGAAGAGGACCAGGAAAGACAACCAATGGGTACTAGGCTTAATAGCTGGGTGATGAAATTATCTGTACAACAAACCCCAATGACACAAGTTTATCTACGTAACACACCTGCACTTGTACCCCTGAACTAAAGTTTAAAAAAAAGAAAAAGGAAAAGGAAAAAAGAGTCATGAAAAGAAACAGAAGAAACAGGCCTAAAATGTCTACCTCATGTATTACCAGAAAATGTAATTTTCTAAATAAAATACTCATCATGAAATAGAAAAAACAAAGAAAAACCCTAAAAGACAAAATAAATAAATAAATAAGGTAGCAGACCAAACAAATATTTTGGTGTGGGAGGTAAAGGTTAATTATTTAATCTATACCACAAGTTTATCCTATTTCACAGGACTAGTATATATACATGTGTGTATGTGTGTATATAAATATGCAATTAAAAAGTACAAAGACAAAACTATATGCAATATATGCACAAAGAGTTTTATAGAAATAGAAATTAACATACTAAAAACCTTCCCCAAAACTTTTTGAGGAAATATTAATGTCAGTCAAAGTAGAAACCAAAGAAACTAAATGCTGGATAGAGACAACTTTTGAGAAAGAATAGATGAAATGCATGACACCATGCAATTAAAATTGATTGTAGCACTGTTCAGAATAGCCAAGATTTGGAAGCAACGTGTGTCCATCACAGATGAATGGATAAAGAAAATATGGTACATATACACAATGGAGTACTATTCAGCTGTGAAAAAGAGTGAGATCTTGTCATCTGCAACAACATGGATGGGACTGGAGAGTATTATGTTAGGTAAAATAAAATAATGATTATGTTCAGGCAAGAAAGGGAAATATCACATGTTCTTATTGTGGCATCTAAAATGCAAAACAATTGAACTTATGAAATTAGAAAACAGAAGGTTGTATACTAGAGGCTGGGAAGGGTACTGGGTTAGTGTAGGGGCTGAGGGGAAGGTGGTGATGATTAATGAGTACAAAAAAAAAATAGAAAGAATGAATAAGACCTAGTATTTGATAGCACAACAGGCTGACTATAGTCAATAATAACTTAATTGCTATTTAAAAATAAATAGTATAATTGGAATTTTTGTGACACAAAAGGTAAATGCTTGTAGGGATGGATATCCCATCCTTCACGATGTGATTATTATGTATTGCATGCCAGTGTCAAAACATCTCATGTACCCCATAAATATGCTCATGCAATATATACAGACAAAAAATTAAAAATATAAAAAAACATACTGATTGAACCAAATTGTGTCATTTTCATGTTTGACACAGTTTCTTCCCTCAAGCAAAATAATAGAAAAAAACTGTAGTTATTTTTCTCACATTATTAGTACATAAAGAAAATGGAAAAATTGGGACTCCACTTACATTAATCACAACTTCTTAGCTGATCTTCAATTTTTGACTTAGCCACACTTGTATGGATTTATACTAATAATTGCAAGGCTAAGAAAAACTTTGTAATTATTATTAATTTTTTTTAGCATTTGCTGTATTAGGTAAATGATTTTTTTTTTAATTTTAAAAATTTTTTTGCTTTTTTATTTTACTTTAGGTGTATACAATATCTGGCATTTCTCCCCATGTTATCCCCCTCACCCTTTCCACCCCCGCGCTGTCCCTCCTCTACCCTCCCAAAACTGCCCCCAGTGTGTGATGCTCCTCTCCCTCTGTCCATGTGTTCTTTGTTCAACACCCATCTATGAGTGAGAACATGCGGCGTTTGGTTTTCTGTTCTTGTGTTAGTTTCCTAAGAATGATGGCTTCCAGATTCATCTAAGTCCCTACAAAGGACACGAACTCATCATTTTTTATGGCTGCGTAGTATTCCATGGTGTATATGTACCTCATTTTGTCCAGT